CCACTAAGGAGGGCATTGTCTACATTCTGTTTCTGTGTTTGAATGAAATCCTGACATGCATGGTTATTAGACATCTAACTAGCTTGTGTTGCCTCCCCTAATTTTTATTTCAACCTTTTGCAAGTGGCACATTTAGGAATGATTTTTAAATGATGATAAAATTATACAGTTCTGGAAAATGTGGGAGAGTAAATGGGATTGCAGCTATGGTGTACAAAAGCATGGCATAATTAATATGTGATTCTTAAACAATTTATAAAACAGGACTCTCTCTCCCGGAAGGAAAACCTACACTGTATATTCTAAATTTACCAGAAACAGAATTTTCTCATATGAGTTCAGTTCACTGTTTTTAGTAAAAACTTTACGAATACACAATGGCCCTTTTCCATTTAAAACCATCAAGAAAAAGTGTGTGAGAGAATGTATTTATTTATGAGATTCACTAAGCAGAAACATTTTAATGTTATATGGATCCTTACCTAAGTTAACCTAAGAACATCCATGGAAGGAAATTTTCTGATTCCCTTTTCCCATCTGCAATCAACTGTGCTCCCCAAAGGCCTGTTTTGAGGGGCCCTTTAGAATAATATGGGCACAAGGGGGTGCTAGGGAGGGATGGAAAACTTTCCACCAGCCAAACCTAGTGTTGATTGACTTCTGCTCATGCTACACCCCCATGTTCCACCCCACATTGTCCAGGAGGGCCTCCAGTCATCCGGAAAGACTTTTGATGGGAATCCAGATAAAGTGAACAGGAAAGTTTCATTCTGTGCACTTCCTTAACTTATTCCAGGAGCCATGTTACCATCATGCTTGTAAGAGGCAAAGGTATTAAACTGTATGATGCATGGAGCACATTGTGCCTAATTCTTGACAGAGGGATACTATTTCCAAATTACAAAAAAAACTTGTATGAATGTTGAAAAGAGGGCCTTCTCAGAAGTGGCGCCCGCCCTGTGGAACACCCTCCTATCAGTTGTCAAGGAAATAACAAAACCCCACCTATTTAGTCCTCAACATTTCCCACGTTTTGCTTGGAGGATCTGCATGGGGCTTCTACTCGTGTTCACCTGAATGAGAGCAGAGCCTTTTATACAGTTGGAGAGCCTGATAAAGTAAGGTCCTTGACTACTAAAGGTGTTCTACGTGCATTCAAGTGAACGTGGGTAAAAAGCTCCCTTAAGACCTACCCCTCTAAACAGGGAATGTTGTATGACTGAAGAAGTAGGGTCATGCACATGGGGATGTTGAGGGGAGGACTCCCACGTGCCCCCTGCCCCAATCCAGCTCTGCATTCTCAGGCAAGTGCCTGGACACACATATAATGGTTTGAATCTTTCAAGCAAAAACTTCACTTAAGTATCAGTTATGTGGAAGATAGCATTTTAGATCATTTGAGTAAATTCTTCTGCTTTAAGGAAGACTCTGGGTGGAATTCTGCATTATAGTAAATTACACAAGGAAGCATAGGTACTGGCTCCAGGGGGCTGAGGCTATTTTTTAAAAAGGGGGCTGCCCCCCTATTGCTGAGGGCAAAAATGGAGCCAGGCGTGGAATGCCGTCAGGATATTTTGTGACGTTGCACATGCACTGTCAGGATGTCAGGTCGGGTCCCCTCAATGTTCTCTGGAAGATGGCGCCTCTGCAGGGAAGTGTAAGAACTGCTGATTTCATCCAAGAAATAAGTTCTTATCGGCATACTTATGGCAAAGTGCTCTTTGTGTGTGGCTATTTTTTTTGCCATTGATCTCAGCTGCGTTCTTTGAAACAATGTAATTCTAACCCCTGAGCTATATCAGTAACTGGTTTTAAATGTACTTTGTCTCATAAGACAAACATACAAGATACATGAACAAGTTCTTGCTGACCTATACAGTGCTGACTTTATAATAGGTCATATTTCAAGTACTGTGTGCTTGATAAATAGCCTGCCTCTAAGAGCTCTGTCCTCGGTGCTGAAATCTCTCGTGATGTATGGGCACATCTGGCTGATAAATTCTAATGTCAGCATGTGTGTGATAGCGATTCATCAGGTTTGTAAAGAGTGTGCTCAGTGAAACATACTGAATTCATAAAGATACATATTCTGGATATTATAGAATTACCACTGGGACCCACACACATCCCATTTTGGCCTTTAAAGCTTCTGTGGAAATCTCTTGCAGCTTGCAAGCAATGACTAAAAATGACCCAGAAAGAATTTGTCATAATTTAAGATGAACTTTTAGTAATTAATGACTTGCTTTCAAGGGGGATTTGTTGTTGTGACAATCAGTGGCAGACCGAACACAGCAGTCTCTGTATAGAAAGAGGACATATAAACACTAAGAAATTACTGTGATTTGTTTAGATAACATTCTTGGTCAATTTATTATCCAGCATTATTAAAAGTCTAGACAGGTTTTTTTGGGTTGTGGAAAAATTGCACACTTGCTACCTAACTAGAATTTTGAAATTTAAAATGTTGAGTAAATTTTCAGACTCTTAAGAAATTTGAGTTACTTAATTTTGGGCTTTGGGGCAAATTTTAGTTTTTAGTGTCCTGACTTCAAATTATATTTTGACTCTGAAATGTCACATTTTTACATCCTAATTTGAATGAATTGTCAATCCTAAAGAGTAGGTCCTGCTATCTCTCCAACTTTATTTAAAGCAGGGGTGGGGAGCCTCTGCCTTGTAGGCCAATCACTAGGTTTTCCCATTTGGTCCATAAGGCTGTTTTGGGCAAGCCATGCCTACCTGCCCTACACCTGATGACATAGAGTTAAGGGCAGAGCTTTGTCAAAGCTTTCTTGAGCAGTTTCCAAAACACCTGACAGCGATTTGGTTGGCTTACTCCCATCTGCATCAGCTGATGTGAAAGGTTATCCTGAGTGTTTTTTCTCTGCTTTGTTTCAGCGGCTGTTTCACGCCAAATGGGTTTTCAGTGAAGTGGCTGGTGAAATGAAGATGGGAACACCTTACTTTTAGCAGTGATATGTCACTTGCTAGTACTTTGAAGCCCCGACTTTGAGACTTCAAAGCACCAAATCCTTTGATGTCATTTATGAAGATTGACAGATGGCCAACCTGTCAATTTTGACCTGCAAGGCACATTCTGATAAGAATCTGGCCCATTGAGCCAAAATGCTCCCTCTACCAATGTAAAGCCTTGCTGAGACAGAAGGCCAGAATTGGGGGACAGTTTTTTTCATTCATTTATAGCATATGTCCCTGTCTTTCTTTTATGATGGAAGATAAGGAAGCGTATATTGGGGTCCTAGGTACTTTCCAGGCACTGACCATACTCAGAGCTATTTAAACTTCAGAAAGTTTGACTGCGCCAAAGGAGATACTGCTGACACCCAAACGACCCTCAGCTTTCTTGACTGAGTTGTCTCCTGATGATTCAGGAAATCCATGAGACAGCATTGCATACTTTTAACTTATAGAGTCTGTCTTTCTGCCCTTGAATCTCAGCTACTTACCTTTTTCTAAGGACAAAGCTGCTGGCATTCTACTCATCTCTATACCTTCCTGTTCAATGCCAGCTCAATTTTTCCCCCTGCAGAACCCAAATGGTGCCCTCATCTTGTTGCACCATTCAGAAGTCAATTCCTGCCTTCATTTATCCATGTCTCCCTTATGGTGCCACCTGAATCAGGCCACTTCATCCTGCTGTTTGTGCAGAGCTGGCCCTGTTATTTTCCCTGCATATTGGCCATTTCTGTCTTGTTTCTTTCCAGTTCTTGATATTCTTGTGAATTCTTTAGGAATTTGTTGGACATCAGCTCTGACATGAACAGGCTACACAATCCAGTTATTATCATTGTAATCATGTAACTTATTTCAACTCCGGTGGTATACATTTTCCTCAAAATTAGGGGAGACTGTAAATCACAATTCTACACTTTTGTGGCTGACTCTTATTTTGGTGATGATGGTTATTTTGGTTGCATCTGACCTGCTTTCATTTTTACGGCTCTTTATTTTTGTTGTTATTGATGATTTAATCTCTATTGGATTTAGGATTATTATTATTATTATTATTATTAGTCTTGAACACTGCAAATGCACCAGAAAAGCAAATAAATATTTTCGATATACCAAGCCTTGATACTCAAATCTGCATACGCAGCCAGGCTGAGTTACCTAGAATTCTTCATTTGATTTGAATGAAGTCTGGGTAAATCACAGAATCTAATCTGGTTGGTTTCTCTGAGACATGCAGTTTGAAAGCATGATAGATCTAGAGAAAAGATTCATTGCTAACAATAGTTACTTCTTGAATGGTTTGCAAGAAAACCCTGATGGATCACACCAAAGTCCCATCTAGTTGGAAATCCAGTTTCCCATTGTGACCAACCAGCTCCCTCTGGGAATAATATCAGCAGGTCACAACATTCTATTAATTTTTAATCTAAATACTCTTTCAGTTCAAGTGGTGTGGCCCAGTTAAGTAAATGCAGATATTCACACAGCTCATCTTGTTTCAGTTTTCTACTCAGTAATAGCTAGTCTGTAAAATCAGAATGATTATGGTAATGGCTTGTATGAAAATGGATCCATGACATTGGGACATTCAATTGTTTTAAAATATACAGAAATGATTATAGTACTATGATTTTGTCTAGAAACTGCTGAGCGCTTCATAGATTACAAATTAAATACAGCTCCAATAAGATTTTTTGCTGTTTTGTTTTTTTCTTTATAAAAACAAAACATAACATAACACAACATAGTGGAAATTGGCCCTGGTGTTCAGCCAGTGAAACACCTTTCCTAAACATTTATGTGAATACTTCAGAAAGTGTTTTATTGTGTCCTTTATTGCAACTACACAGCCTGAAATATATTTGATGCAATCAGGCCTGCAAGTTTGTGTGTATTTACTGGATATTAAAATGTTGGTGTTGCACAGCATGTTCCAGTAAATCCCAAAAAGAACTTATTTAGAAAGAAAGAAGTCCAAAATATTTTGATTGTACTCAAAAATGTATTTTTTCCTCATAAAAAAAGTTTCACATACTCACTGTTTCTACTCTACAGAATTTGTCCAATTCATTACACCACGGGTCAATTCTAGTTCACTGCAAAAACTCGTGGCTAATGTGTGTCATATAACACAGGAGGAGGGTATTACTCAATTCCACTATTTCTACATTTAATTAAAAAAACAACAAATACATAAAATTTTCTCCTCTACTTGCACTGTATAGACAGCATTGAGTGCCTCTTAGATTGTAAGAAGTCACACTATAAAGTCCTAGAAAACAATTTGGTTGGCACAGAATTCTTCAAAGACAGGTGTTTGTTTTAAAAAAATACCACACCGGCAAATATTTGTATTTGTAACTATCACCATCTGCTAAGTCCAAGGTTTTGATTTTTGTAGAGGGATACTTTTTTTTTTTTTGCTTTTTTATTGAGCACAATTATTTAGTCTTGTGCACCCCAGTTTAGCACACTAGTACAGTAACATTGGTATCTCATGACATATTAGCTGGAACACCTATGACTGTTGCTTGGACTTCGAGTGCTGTGCTTTTCTCTTTGTTAGTATCCCAAAGACTGATTAGAGGAGGGTAAAGCTCACTGAAGGAAAAGGATTGTTTCTTCAGGTAATTCCTGAAGTAGCTGTGTCCTGCATCACAGTTCATTTCATGAGAGATGCAGCTGAAGAGAGAAACCACACAAAAGAATCCCAAAAGTGTAGCAAGACAGACAAACAATGTAGTGATGTTGTTCTTCTCATAATTTGCCATTGTTGGATCCAACCCTTTTGTTGCAATGTTGACGCACTGTCTTGCATTCTGTAACTGGACAGTGGGGATGTCCATACAAATTGTATATTCCGTGGACGGGGTTAGATGTGTAAAATTATAGACTTTTATATGGGATGGAATTCGAGTGCTCCGAGAAGCCAGAGAATTTCCATCTTTGGGAAAGGCAGTCCATCTAATGGCGGATTTCACTATTTTGGAAGTTGCTTTCCAGGACAGAAGTACAGAATTAGATCGCACGTCTTCTACCTTAATAGACAAAGATTTATGGTTATCCTGGGGAAAAGAACCATCCACATTAATCATAATGGATTTTAAATCTGCACCGACCAAATTAGTTGCTATGCATGTGTATAAGCCACTTTCTTTTTGTGTTATATCACTGATATCTAGCGTTCCTTCTGAATGTACATAATATTTAAGAGAAACAGTGTTGGGCAAAAGTTTATGTCCAGATGGAGTTATCCAATACACTTCAGGCTCTGGTTCTGCTGTCGCTCTGCAGTGTAAAGAAATATAGCTGCCTGTTTCTATATTTATGTTGGAGGGAAAACTTTCTGGGGCTATCAGTGGAAGGCAGATTTCCATCATTTCTCTAAAATGAACCTTCCTCACATTCTGGCCCTGAAATTCAGGAGGATCTACACAAAATAATGATTCCGGCTCCATGAACCTAATGCTAGTTTTATTCATATTAATCCATCGGATGACGCAGTCACACCGGATTGGGTTGCTGTGTATGCTGATTTCCTTGAGATTAGGCAAAGATTCAATTGTACTACGGTACAGGGCACTGAGTGCATTACTGTTGAGCATGAGTGATTCCAACCGGGGAAGTCGATAGAATGCGTTTGGGTGTACGTATGACAGTCGGGGGTTATTCGTAGCTTCTATTTTTCTCAAGTCTGGCAAATTGTCAACTGCCAGGTTATCAATAGATATCAGTTCAGGCATATTATTAATTCCCAATTCTTTGAGGTGTATCATATTGCTAAAATCTCCTCTTCGTATTCTGTTAATGGGGTTCTTGTTTAAATCTAAAAATTTAAGGTTAGTAGCCTTTTGAAGAGCAGTGTGGGGCACTTTTACTAATCTGTTGTCATAGAAAGAGATGCTTTCTAAATTGTCAAGGCCAGCCAAGGCATTATCTGGTATTTCTGTGAGATTTATGCCTGCTAAAACCAGGCTCCGCAGATTGATAAGGGGCTTAAAGTTCATATCTTCGATTCTGATAATTGGGTTTTCTCCAATCATAAGAATCTCCAGATTAGGAATAGCTTCAAACCACTTACTGTTGATCACTTGCAGATTATTGGAATTGAGATGAAGTCTAAGAAGATTATAAAGACCTGTGAAGGCTCCTGGTGCAATTGTGGAAAGCAGGTTGTGATTAATGTAGAGCTCTTGGAGATTGTTCAGCCCAGTGAGACATTTGTCCGGCAACTCTGTAAGTTTGTTTTCTTCCAGATACACTGAAAGAAGTTGGGGTATCTTCCGAAGTTCAATATTGGCCACTGATGATAAACTGTTCTGAGATAAATCCAAACCAGTAAGGTTTACTGGGAAGTCTGCTGGGTATTCAATTTTTTTAATGTTGTTTGCCTGTAGAAGTAGAACCTGTGTGTCAGCAGGCAACTGGGTTGGGAAAGTTGAGAGACCTACATCATTGCAATCCACTGTAGAAGCTTCCATGTATATGGATCTTGGAGTGAACCACGGTCTTATATCACATGTACATGACTGTGGGCAGTCTGCTTTTTTATCTACAGCTTGAACTAGCACAGTGATAGTTAGGCCAAGTAAAAAGTGAATTTTGAATGGCATGTCCTTCATTTTAGCTCACTGTTCCAGGAAAGTAATTGGCCCTTAAGGATTGGACAATTACAGTTTTTTAAGTTCAATAGGAGATGGTCATTTGAGAAGACAAACACTTGCATTTGTCAAATGACGCATGCTGCAGAAGCACAACAAACCTCTCTTTCTTGGAAATATGTGGCTCCTTTGCAGTCACTTTGTCCAGTTAAGAGAGGCATATTTGGGGAACAATAAATATTGAGTTATATTTGAAAAATGTGCTCCACCCAGGAAGTTGTCAAAAAGGAAGCAGAACAATCATATAGTAGTGTTAAGTTTAGATTCCATGATGTCTTCCTTCTTTTTGTTGTTGTTGTTGAAAAGAGACCTTCAATATAAAGAGAGAGAAAACAATTAGTACTTGCTGCTATTAAACAATATAAGCAGAAATATATTTTGGTGAAAACATATTGTGTTGCTTACTGCAGGTGATATTTAGACAACCTGGCAGACAGATCCCAAAAATCTTTATTGTCTAAAATGCTGGCACAGAATACCAATGTAGTAGGTGTGTGTGTGTGTGTGTGAGAGAGAGAGAGAGAGAGAGAGAGAGAGAGAGAGAGAGTGAGTCACTAAGTATTCAGAAATTTAAGCATTTGCATGTTGATACAATTAGCAATTTACAGCTGAACTTAAATCCACTGTTTGTGAATGTAAATGAACAGGTTCTTCTATCTGCACTGGTTCTGCCCTCTCCTCCCATTGGTGATGTGGTACCTACCAAACAAACGTTGGTTCATGTGTCACCATCATCTGTGGTGTGATCGACATCTACTAATGTGTGTACATTTTTGGGATCATAACCAATATGTTTCTGAGTACAATAAGAATTCAAATCGCTGTAAAACTTTACATCTGGTTAAACATAATAGCAACTCAGTTTTTTCCAGAAGGCTGGCAGGGTTGGTCTGTTACAGCAATATTGGCAGCAAGTCTTGTGGCACATTGCTTGGCACACAATATTTTCAATAAACAAACAAAATGGTAGGCAATACATGACCGACAGATCAAGTTGCATTCTATCTTGCGCTGTTTTCCTTTTGTTTCCTGCAGTCATAATTCACACTGGTAGCTTTGTTTGCAAACTTGTATGATAAGGCCAATGGTTCACTGACATTGATAAATGTATTTTGAGATGTTGCTGGTAAAAGATAGTAAACACTGCATCCCTGGCAAAGGATGTCTTCCAAGATGTAAAGCATAGAATAGTCTGAACTAACATCTGATTTGACTCCTTCCTTCCCTTCATTTGTTGGCACTGAATGCTAATCTCCAAGACTGACTTGCAACTTTTAGACAACTAGTGACAAACGCTATCTGAAATAACACTGCTGTCAGCAGGAGAGGCATAGTATCTTTCTCAGAGCCATCTATATTTCCCTTTTTAAAACATATTTTATATTCTGTTTTCATCTCTTCAGTGCCACATAAATGTATTTTGCTCTTTTCTGTTCCTTTATGTACACACTTGTACATACATGTGTGCACATGCTACATACATAAACAGTGGAGATATTCTTAGCCATTTTTATTAGGTATGTGTGTGTTTCTACACACACACACACACACACACACACACACACTACTCCATGGTACTGAAGGCAGTTAAATAAATGACTTCAGTAATCCCTGCAACAATCCGTTAAAGTAGGTCACAATTATCCCTGTACAGCACTGGGGCTGAGGCTGTGAGATAATGGCTTGCTTAAGGCCATGCAGTGCCTGAGACAAGTTTTGGACCAGGGATGCTTTGAGCCACAACTTAATAAGGAACTTAACAAGAAAGATCCTTAGACCAACATCTTCCAGCTTCTTGCTCCATTGATCTCTCTGACTTCAGTGGGACTACTTTGGAGCAAGCAATTTGACGATTATAGTCAACTGGCTTGGGGGCTTTGCATCCCAGTTCTGCCTCTTTCTAGCTAAACAGGGATTTCAGAAACAGTTTTGAAACTGCTCTGGGCATTGAGGAGGCAAACGACAAATTATTGGCACTATCCTTTAAGCATCCGCAGTAGACTTTTCAAAGCGTATTTCTATTGTCGGTTGTTCTCTTCCACTTGAAACGCTGCAGAAACCTTCAAAAGAGGTTTGATTTGCCATGGTGTTGGTGCCATGGCCAATGGCTGCACTGCAATTGGTTTAGCTGTGCTTATGAAGCTTTTGTCCTACCCTTCTTCCAAGATGCTCAGGGCAGTGGATATGATCCTCCCCAATTATTACCAGTAATCCTCAAAGTAACCTACTGGGGTAAGTTGAGCTGAAATATAATGGCTGGCTGAAGGTTATTCACTGAGCTTCATGACTGAGTAGCAATTTGAACCCTGCTGTAATGCCTCCAGGCCTGTAGTATTGGGTGATATCAAGAGTTGTTGGTCCACTCGCACAATGAACTTCTGCTTGTGCACTGGAGCTTCCTCTCCCCACTACAACCCCTATACACACACACACACACACACCCTCCCCCTTTGTATGTAGGTGTAAAGCTTTCTAACTTGCAGTGTCTTAATGTGTATAAATAAAATCATCAGACAATGTGTGAGCTAAACATGTCAGTGAAACATTATGTTGTTTTGAGGTTTTCTAATGCATTTTTTTGTGGCAAGGGGCCAATATATATGCAATGCAAAGTAGCAATGGTACAGAATAACATAATCAAAATGAAATCTGTTCCATGAAATTAGGTACTCTTCAGGCTTGCAGAGAAAAGAACATTTGCACAAATGGTTAGTTAATAAAACTCTGGCATTAGCTTCAGAAGCTGAATTACCTTGCTGTCCCTATTGTTGGATGTGCTGCTGGTGACAAAAGACTTAAAAATGGGCCTCTTTTCTGTATTAAAGATTTGGTGGGGGGAAATTTTCTTGGACACTAGTGCAGTAGTTTAGAAGAATTATAAATATGAAGTTAGCACTACAGAAAGCTCTTAGGCAAAGGCAAGACTTCTTCTATTAGGGTCAGTGTTACCTTTCAAGTTTATCCTTGCTAATGCCTTCAGGCAAACTTCATTATTGGTTCTATCAGATTTGATCTAAAGAAAAGAAAGTTACTGAGCAATGAACTCAAGTAACCTTGTTATTTTACAGTAGGACTGGATACTCTCTTAGTATTGGCTTATTTGTAACATTGCAGAGCATCAGTTTACAATCTCTTGCCCAAAGTAAGGAATGAGCTTAGAAGGGGAGAGAAAATTGTGGTGTTAGGAAAGTGAGAATCCTTGGTGATTAACTTGCTTCATATCCATTGGAGAACAGGAAATTTCCAGTTGGAGCTAGTTGCAGGCAGAATTACATACCATATGCAGTCAGTTATGGAATTATGTGTATAAATAAAATTATATAAAGTGCTTTGACAAAGTGCTTTGACTATTTGTAGAATTACTTGCCATGAATATATCTAATTCTCAGTCTAAACTAGTGTCCATCACCACATTGTATGCATTATTCATTGTGTAAATAATAATTCCTTGAAGGCACTGCCAATAAATTTCATAGGTGGCCCTCAGTTCCATTATTAATAAGAACCAAGATTCTGGTGTTTAAATAGGTGTTATTTTGGTCTGAAATAACAAGCAAAATAACAAGCAGCCTCATGCTTTGCATATATACTTGAAACAATATTGAAATGATTATTTAGCTGTTGTATGAAGTGTTGGTAATGGAAAAGGACTTTTTGGAAATCGTTTTGGCATTGCACATAGCTACTTCTCTCCTTTCTTTGTGGTGGGAACAAAAGATCCACAAAGTCTTCCATTAATTACCATTTTTTGTCTGAATCAGGTTACTATGGTAACAGCTTTGGAACAAGCCAGGTTATTAGGGCAGCTTCAAACCATGGTTTAATATCCTGCTTTATTTCAAAGCTTTTAACCTTAGTTTTCTGGTTCAAGCAAAATGGAAAACAGTGGGTAATGGAGGAACTTCATGGTTTGTTTACTTGTGCATATGAAGAGAGGGACAAAAAAGTTGTGTGTATGGCCAAAAAGGTTTGTTGTCAGTGTGTCAAGAGCATACTATCCTCTCACTCGACCTGAAAACACTTAAAAGGAAATGCTAGTGACCTGTATGTCCAAGAACAGGCACTCTACTACGCATCTAATGGTGATTCAGAACTAGCATTTTCTTCATACTAAACTTCTAGGCACCAGAGTGTCGAGTATGCAACAACTTCCTATCTAGCTACCACCTAAACTGGAGGTATAACATTTTGTGTGTGTTATACTAAGAAAGAAATGCACAGTTTACACAAATGTAACAATATTAGCACATTCTTGTTCCATTGTGTGTGAAATGAAATTCAGAAAGGAGAAAGCTACTTACCCATCCACCCCCTTGACACGTGTGTGATTATTTTGTAACCTGAAACATATAGTGCACTTAAGTGTGAGACCCCAACAGCATTTCATTGCTGAAGATGAAACTTGGCTGAACTTAAATTTATATTTTGCATTTAATTTTGTGGTGGGTGGGTGTGCGTGCGTGCGTGCAGCAAATTTCATTCCTCTTTCCAAGGTGCAAATACCAGAATGAAATTTTGATAGCGTGAGTGCTTCATTTATTAATGAGTGAGACATCTTACACACGTCTCCTAATGCTCAGTAAAAGTGTTAAGTTTATATACAGGAGGAACATATATGTCTGAGTGTAGACTGCAAACTTTCTTGTTAAAAGCTAATATGCCTCTGGCAAAAGAGCTCTGTGCTGCTGCTACCTGCCAGCTGCTACTGGCATGCTGAGAAATGATCAAGCTGCTCATTTCCTTCCTGTTTGGCATTTAAGACATTTCTAGCTTAATATACAGAGTTATTCAGTATACAGATGACTTTATACTAAAGTAGATGGATTGTACTACTCTATTAACTTTACAAACACAAAGCGCACATAAGCACAAACTCTTCCAGGGTTTAATTTCTTTCTCATCCTGTAGCAGCGAATTGGGGAGCCCTTTGGGGGGGGGGGTTACAACTGCTTTCCTCACAGGGATAATCTGTTAGAGGACACATGCTGGCATTTGTGCTAGACCAGTGACAAATCAGGCAGACCCAGAGCTCTTTCTCCTTTTCTGCCACCTCTTTTCACTTACATCCCCCCCATTGTACCCCTTTCCTCATTTTTCTCTTTGACACCCACATGAAATTAAGCTGAGGGCTGCAAGTTGCTCACTCCTGCTCTAGCATGACCAAGAAATTGATCTCAGATCCAGAAGTTGAGCCCCGGGTTGGCTCTTAATAGCTTGGTCTTATTTCATGTCTGTGTGACAAAGTAAGTGGGTTGCAGTCTGGGTCACAGTTCAGTTAGGGTAAAAGTTTCTGTTTGCCACAAGCACTAAGGTCACCATTATTTGGGGCAAAGGATGGGTTTTGCATTGCAAAATATGTGTCTTCCCTCTGCCTCCGTTCCCATCCATTATAATGATAGCTGGCTTCAGTGCTACTTAAACATTAAAGAGCAAACTCACTAGATCTCTTTATGCGCCATATATCTTAAGAAAACGAAAGCTTACTAGAATTAGGCACTTAATATGTTTGTATTTCTGCATTTCTGCTAGAGCTGGAGACCTTACTTTGGAAGTGTTTTATTTGCACCTGTTCAAGGTTCTGTTCTGTAAAGGCCAACTGCAGAGATATTTGCTTGTTATAGCAAGCTTTTGTTAGGAACTAAGCAAAATTAATACAAAATGAATAAAGACACGTGAAACGTAAAGCAGGTCATGTCAGAAACATGTTGGTTATCAAAAAACAGACATTAAATCTTACTTTCTTCATAGCTGTTTTCCTCCGTGAACTGAATATCTTTGTTGGAGGTGTACAGTCTGATTATATGTATATATATTGGGATTGAAGGGCCATTGGGTTTATTGGGACTCATTCTATCAGTGAGGGAGAAATTCAGCTCACATTTTAATGCAAACCCACCTAATTCACACTACATGAACCAATACAGGAACTGAAACACAGCTATCCTTTGAAATTTTCACTTCTCTGAATTTTGCAGTGCCAGTCTCCAACAACAAAATGTGCACATAAAGGTGCATATTAATATATAGTAAATATTGCAGGTGCATGGTTTCTGTTATTAACACCATGATATATCGTGATCATGGACAGAAAATTGGTCTAAACTCTGGAAGCCCTGTATTAGTCTATTTAGCCTTGAGTGCCATTGTATCTCAGCTTTACTTCAATGGTTAGTACAGTGGGAACCCACTTACTGGGCCTTGCTCTTTTTGAAAGATCAGCAAGGTAAAAAAATAAAGTACTTCGATAAATGGTAGAAAGTAGTAGCTTGATAAAACACAGCACAAGCCACGCTGTGATGGAAAAACCAAGAGTTCACTCCAGTGGTTCTTCAGACTATTCTGCCTTAAACATCTAGTATAACTATGTTATTTTTCTCAACACCAGTATCAATATGTTGCTTTTTGTAAGCATCATTAAAAATAATTTGCAGCTGTAATATTACCATGCTGAAATGCATCCTTTGTTAACTATGACAGCAACATTGGCTGCTTAAAAAAAATTTAAAAATCCCAGATACGTTCCAGACTCTCGAACAGTGTGACCCTTTGCAGACTAATTATCTCTCTTGTAGACAATGATTGGTATGCCTTAATTAGGCATGTGCCTCTTGCTGTCACTGATGACTCATGCCTTGGTTCTCAAGGGATGTGTGGATCTCTTATTTGAGCTGGAATGGATAAAAAGAGGACATTGTTTTTAATCTTTGGAGCTAAGGACCAGTTAGATTGGGCAGAAGGGAATGCAGTCATAAGGCACTAGAAAACTCTTCCCACCCACTCCGTTTAGTGTCAGAAAGCTTTATTTAAAAAACGTTGCAGTCTGAATGTAACATCCCCTGCTGCTAATGAGAAAAGCAGTTCATCTCACATTGGCCCATTTAGAGGTAGTGAGGAGTCCCAAAACACAGCTGTATTTACACAGCCGCCTCTCAAAGAAAACTCAGCTAAAAAAAGGCATTCTGTAATTTATGTTACTTAAGCTTTTCTGTAAGAATTGTCATAGGTTGCTATCAAATAAAAAAGGGAAGAAGTGTGTTGATTATCTGCCTGGACTAGAGAGAGAAATCTGAAGGAAAACAACAACCAGTATTGGGAATGAAGAGCAAAACCAAATATTCAGTCACATTAGTTTAGTAAGTATATTCTGTTCTGGACTGATGATGTGTAGTTTTCCCAGTATATTTAAATCATAGTTAGCATCCTTGTAATGTGAGGCGGGGATTCTGATCTGCAGATGACTCAGAAAAACATTGTTTATGCCAATAAATCCTGAGAAAGCACTATATGTGAACCTTTTGAAACAGCATGAGTTTACAGCGCATGCTTTTTCTGGAGGCAAACCAAGAGAAACCTAGAACCCAAAGTTTGGATGACACGCTAAGCCAAAACACAGCTCAGCTCGCAGCAGAAGCTGGGGGGAGGCATGTAGTCATCGAAATCTCCTCTGTAGGAACTCTCACACTTGTACATGTTCACTAAGTCATAGATAGGCTTAGGATGATGTGCAAACCTGCTCTATGTGAGTGAGGCAAGCGCATAAGAACAAAAAGGGGAGTGTTAATGCAAAATGAGGGGAAGAGTATTATGAGTGCTGACACTATCAGATTAAAGGGGTTTAATAGTAGTAAATTAGTATTTTGATACGGCAGCCTAGACACAAAATTTATTATTTGTAGGAAGGAGCGGAATATTATGGGCAAGTAACATGGCAGTTCAGATCTTCCATCCTTAATTGCAGTATAGGAGGGCTTCTGCATGAACAGCTTTTTTGTTATCAGTGCAGTGATTCTTTGAATCAGCTGTTCTCTTTTATTAAATTCCCTTCCCTGCCAAGCATCGTCTTACCATTTATTTAATGTGCTCCTCCCTCAAGGGAAGCGCCACCCTCAAGTTCACCCTCTTAGTCGGGACGTTGGGCAGTCTTACTCACAGCTTCATCATATATTATGGGTTTGTTTGTTTTTACGTTGATAATCTCATTGTAGGAAAATTGTAATCCATGAGAGAAAAGGAACGGTAGCACTAGGAAAAGAGGATTGATGGCCTCACTTTTCCACACATTCATTATAATCTTTGTTCTCCCTAGAGCCTTCTTTGTCAAATGAGGTGGAAGCATTTTGAACTGTACCACTTCAGATTGCAGGCATAGGGTTGTATTTTTGAATGCTTCTCTGTGTCAAAAAACTCTACATTATCTGATAGAGAGGGCTAAACCCCTTTCTGAAGCATATACTGTATTGTAGGAATGTTACGGTGTGGGGTTTGTATTTTGGGGAAGTATATACTATCCATAATTATTCTGTCTCTAACGTCTCATTCTGAATATTGTGCATATCACTTCTGAAATTGCTATATTTACATTTCCAGAGGATCTCTCTTATATCTATGGAGAGAAGTCCTGGCACTGAGGTTCAAGGTCAATTAAGCAAACTGGATTGATCCTTGTACAATGGGATGGGAGCATAATTTTACCTGTATAAAGTAAAAGTAATTGGGCTGTATTTAATACTCCTTTCCCTTGACTTTGCTTGTACTTGAAACAGTTTACAGTAAGAGAATAATTACAATACTTCACTTTTTGAGCCAGTATCGCAATCCTAATTTTCCCCCCTTCAGCTCTCTGGGCTAGATGTTGCCTGAGGGAAAGCCAAAGGCTTAAAATGTTTTGTATGGAACTAAGACAGGATAAACTCTCAGTCTTTGGGCCGTTAGAGGCAAACAATCTGAAAAGTTCTTATGTCACGAGAAGCCTATTATACCTAAGGACATTTGAGACTATCCTTCTTCTAAAAATAGGTTAGAGAGTACTATAGGAATTTTTAGTTCTTAGCTTTGGGTTTTTTTGTTTTTGTTTTTTAAAATGAATATAATCATACTCTGTTCTGTGCACTGTTTTGTATATTAACTGTCTGGTCCTCATTGGATGCTTGTTTCCAGGGGGTGATGCTCTTCAGCCCCAGTGGGGTTGTGGAGTTCCCCAGGGTTCAATTTTACCTCCTATGCTGTTTAACATCTACATGAAAGTGCTGATGGGGTCAGTTGGTGTTTTGGAGCTTGTTGTCAGCAATATGCTAATGACACACAGTTCTACTTCTCCTTTAAATCTGCAGGTGTGGCAGTGGATGTGTTAGACCAGCCTTTCTCAATCTGTGGGTCCCCAGATGTTGTTGAATTACAACTCCCATCACCCCTAGCTAGCAAAGCCAGAGCTCAGGAATGATGGGAGTTTTATTAATTATTAATAGATGTTAGTGAATTCCCTCTGTTCAGTTCAAACCCTTTAAATTTTTTCTCAGGCTTCCCACCAGTTTGAATAAGCACAACATTTTAAAATCCTGTTATGCTCCATCTAGATGGGGCAGAATATGTTGTCAGATATTTTATTACATTCAATACCAATGTATTAGTTTATTTTTTGTAAAGGTCTAGTAAAGATAGGTTTGAAATGGGGAAAAGAATTGAACATCTAGAAGGTAACACATAGTGGCAGCAGTAAACAGCAAAACATTGAACCATCAGTAGTACAGTATTTGATGGTTAAATCCTGTAGCACAGTAGTACCATGAAGAAATGCTGTAAAGAAACCCACAATAGTTTTATGGGTGGGGGCAGCCAAGTGGATTTTAAGTCTGGGTACTATGACACCAGTTAGGCTTAATGACTATTTTGGATTTGTAAAATTATTGTGAACCTACAGCTGTTTTCCATGAGATGGGGAGATGGTAAGTATTTATTATAGAATGATATTAATTGATCAACAACGCCTTGTTTAGCAGAACAGTTCAGAGCAATTACATCAATTTAGAGAATATATGTGGTGGTGCTGACAGGATAATAAAAATATAACCAAATAAATTCAAATAAAAATCTTCTTAATGGGAAGTAGGGTAAAAAAATCAGTGACCATGGTTGCAGATTCCAGGGAAGCCTTCCTGCAAACAGCTATAGGTTTAACAGATGTTTGTGCCGTCTGCACAGATGTCAGGGGATGTAGGCACAACATCAGGGTGGGACTACTGTGCACAATCCCACTCCTTGCTCCTGCATTTTTCCTATATAGGAGCAAAGTGCACCTGAGTCATTCCAGAGACATAGAACAGGGTTTCCCAAACATGGGTCCCCAGCTGTTGTTGGAATACAATTCCCCTCATCCATGACCACTGTTCCTGCTAGCTAGGAATGATGGGATTTGTAATCCAAAAACAGCTGGAGACCCCAGTTTGGGAAACCCTGTTCTAGAGGTATGTTTCTCACAGCTCTAAGAATTTATATGATAAATGTGTCAGAACAGCTACCATTATTTATTTATTTTAAACCTTCCAGAACTGTAGTAACCATGCATTTTCCATCAACACTTTTGGATTTCTAAGCCACCAGTATCCTTTGCTACTTTTTAAAAATAAAGTATTGTAATTTTGCCTTTGATAACCTCAGCTAACAGTTACACAGTTGTTTTTTGCTCCGTTTCATCCTGTGTTTGTCATCAAGCCAGTCTGATTTATCTTCATATTTTTTTAGATGGTGGTATTTCAGATGCTGGAAATGTGTGTACGTATGTGTGCGTGCTAAGGGTTATTTATCTCTTAATTATAGATTCCCCTGGTGAAGAACCATCTGTGACTCAAAATGCATTGGGTTATTTGAACAGAATTGCCTGCTTTTGTTGATCTTTGAATAGATCTGTTACTGCAACCACTCTTTAACAATATTGCTTGGAGAGGTAATAGAAGAGACAGAGATATGTACGGTAGCAATTTTGGAGTGTGCTGCCATTGTGCCAGAGGTAGCAAAATATCCAGTGGGAGATATGCAGGGCTGTTCCTACCCATTCATTCATTTCATTCGTCTCAGTTAATCATTTGCCTGAATAGCATGTATATGATTGATCTCATTTAAAGTGCTATTTATATTGGCAGCATTCTTAATGTTTGGCTGGCTTCAAATCCCAGATACTCAGTTGTTGTTTTCCTATCAGCTGTAATGTTTTGTGTATGGAATATACAGTTATTCAGAAATAGTCCTGTACTGAATAACTTCATGTATAGATCAACATGATAGCTACGCTTCTGAAGTGCTCCACACCTATGAAGGACATGCCTGTTCAATTGATTCAGTGCAGGAGATTGTTCCTCTGTTGATTTTTCCCTGATGAAAAGGGATTATACTTAGAGTTGATAGAGTACAGTGCTGAATCTGAATTCCACTGATGTCAAGTTCTGGAAGCTTCAAGTAATAATAATAATAATAATAATATTAATAATAATAAATTTTATTTCTATCCCGCCCTCCCCAGCCGAAGCGGGGATCAGGGTGGCTAACAACAATAAAATAATACACCATTCTAAAATCATTTCATTATAAAATTAATTTAAATCAAATTGATGGCAACCATTGGGCTAGAGTTCTGTGAAGATTGCCAAAGGAGGAAGTCAGGCTGTGCCCTGGCCAAAGGCCTGGTGGAACAGCTCTGTCTTGCAGGCCCTGTGGAAAGA